CCGCGGTCGACTACATGGGAGTCCAGCGACATAGCCACTATGCCAACTGCTGGTCCCACATTTAAATAATATTTTTTTTAAAAAGGGGGTCAGGGGGCCAGCAGGTGGCATGGTGGTTAAGGATGCCAGACTCTCACATGGCCTACCATGGTTTGAGTCTTGGACCTGGTGGCTTACTTTCTCACTTTCCTTCTTTCTCTTTGTCCTTCTCTGGTCAAATTAAAAATAAATAAAGTTAAATAAAATATTTTCTTTGAGAGGTTTTTGCTATACGGCACATGCGCTCGCCAGACAGACAGAGACAGAGAGACAGAAGGTGAGAAATCACCCCCCGGGGGGGTGGTCACGCCGCAATCCCTTCTCCTTCATTCTCCTCTCGGGATCTTGAGCATGCACGCACACACGCCCGGCGTGAGTTTTAAGCCACCGGGTCCGGGACGCGAACCGCGGTCAATTACGTGGGAGTCCAGCAACATAGCCATTACGCTAACTGCTGGTTCCCAATAAAATAATTTTTAAAAGAAGAAAAAGAGGGTCAAAGACGGAGAGAAAGCAGATCCAGGATGAAGGGCTCTGCTGGGTCCTGGACACTACCTTTAAGCAGGGAACGGTCTTTACTGGAAGATAAACTCAGAGGGGCTCGCCCAGCCTGGTGGTGCAGTCCGTAACAAGCTGAACTGCAGTGCTGGAAGCAACACAGCTGATGGACGGCGGCTTCAGATCTCCAGGCTGGACTAAGAACATGCTGGGCGTGCCCGAGGTCCTAAGGAGCTGGAGGGCTGGGGCAGGGGGATCGTGATGGGATGAGACCCTGTGGAGGACACTTCTGTTTTGCACAAGTGTGTGTACATGCACGTGAGCATGCACTGTCATGAATAAACTAAACTTAAAAGAGAGGGATGTTCTAGCAGGGGCTACAGCTCATTGGAAGGGGGCGAGAGATGGGACCCTCTTGAGGCCTCATCACATTTAAGAGGGAGGGAGACGGGCTGCAGCATGAAGGGTCAGAGTAAGAGGACATAAGGACCTTTTTTTTTTTTTTTAAGAGAGGTTTTTGCTATAGGGCGCGTGCGCTCGCCAGACAGACAAAGAGAGACAGAGAGACAGAAAGCGAGAAACCACCCCCAGAGAGGATGGCCATGCCGCAATCCCTTCTCCTCCATTCTCCTCTCTGGATCCTGGGCATGCACGCACACGCGCCCGGCGTGTTTTAAGCCACCGGGTCTGGGAAGCGAACCGCAGTCGACTACATGGGAGTCCAGCAACATAGCCATTACGCTAACTGCTGGTCCCAGGACTTTCTAATAGGGAGGGAACAGATCTTGAGAAGGTCCCAGGAGTTGGGTATTGCTTGGCTTTTGTCTTTCTTTTTGGTTTTGCAATAGGGCACTTTGCTCACTAGCGAGAGAGAGAAAGTGAGAGTCATCCCCCAGGGAGATGGCCATGCCGCATTCCCCTCTCTTCCATTCTTCTCTTAGAATTTTGCGCCCGGCATGTTTCTCAAGCTGCCAGATCTAGGACTTGAACTAGTGGCCACATGAGATCCAGACACCCTCATCACCACAGGACTGGCTGGCATCTTTGTCCTTTTGAATTCAGAGCCTCGTTGTCAAAGTGAAACTGCCCCAAATTCACAGACTAGAGTCCCAGTTGGCAGAGGACTGGGGGCCTTCTGACCATCCTGCTCTGTCCACACCCTCAGGAGGCCCTGCCTGGGCTCATCTGGGACCTGGGCCAGCAGCTGGGAGACCTGAGCTTGGAGTCTGGAGGCCTGGAACAGGAGAGTGGCCGCAGCTCAGGTGAGCGTGGGTGGAGGGGGTGGGGGCTGCTGGGACACCCCAACTATCCCACTGTTCCCTAGCCTCAGAGTCTCCAGCTCTCCACGTCCCATCTCTGGTTTTCCCACCCAACACCCCAAACGTCTTTTCGCTTCTCCTTGGAATCCAGGCTTCTATGAAGACCCCAGCTCCACAGGAGGTCCCGATTCACCACCCTCGACCTTCTGTGGGGACAGCGGCTTCTCCGGATCTGGCTCCTATGGACGCCTAGGTCCCTCTGACCCCCGGGGCATCTATGCCAGCGAGAGGCCCAAGTCCCTAGGTAAGGCAGGTGGGGTTGGGACCTTGAAGCCAGGGAAGACGAAGATGGTTTTGAGCATAAACTATTGAGTCACACCTGAATTCCAATACTGGCCCGACAGTTCCTTTTGGTGTGATTTTTGAGCATGTCTCTTCTTTCTGGGCATCCATTTCTCCATCTCAAAATGGGATAACAGGCCCTGCCTCCTAGGCTGTTCTGAGCCACTGCAGAACGGCATTGCGCATGCGCAGTAAACAAGACCTGCTGTCATTCATTTGCACAAGGAAGTTGTAAAGCCGCTGCCATGTGCTGCCCGAGCACTACCCTAGGACCAAGGGGGTGCGGCATCCACACAACCATCCCTGCCCTCCTGGAACTCACCTTCTACTTGGTGAAATAGATGCTATGAAGACAAGTAAAATAGACGGTGTTAGGTATTGACAGGTGTTATGACAAGAAGTAAGCCAGAGAGACTAGGAAGTGTCCTTCCACTTTGGAGAAGGTAGAAAATATGGCCAGGGAGGGCATCGCTGGGACTTCAACATTTAAAGTAAGAGAGCGAGTGGGTCAAGCAGATGTCCTGGGAAAAAGAGTGTACCAGGAAGCGGGACTGGTCCTGAGGCTGAGCAGGGCTGAGAGGGACTGGTACGCGGGGCCAACGTGTCTGGGCCTAGGTGAGAGAGGTAAAATAGGGACAAATTATTATTATTATTATTTTATTATCTTTAAGTTTTTGCTATAAGGCACATGTGCTCACCAGAGAGAGACAGAGTACAGAAGTGAGAAAAGGAAGCCATCAGATCCGGGACTCGAACCGCCATCAATCCTAAGACTCCAGGGCCTTTAAACACCACGCCACCTGCTGGCACTGTGGTGCGGGGCGGGGGGTGTGGGTGTCTTATAGGCCCCCATGAAGATTTTGTTCCGAACCTTACAGGAGGGCAGAGTCCAGAGGGCTTATGAGGCGGGGTGGGCGGCGGGAGCGAGGCCACCTGCCGGTCGTGGCTGGGTGGGAAAGGGTCTGAGAGCCCTCCACTCTTCCTTTGTTTGCCCCCTCCCCTAGGAGACGCCAGTCCCAGCGCTCCGGAGGCGGTGGGCGCTCGGGCAGCGGTGCCCCGATCCTTTTCGGCGCCCTACCCGACGGCTGCGGGGTCTTCGGGCGCGGAGGCCTGCTCCTCGGCGGAGCGGCGGGCCCGCGCGGGGCCCTTCCTGAAGACCAG